CTAGGTCTGCACTGCATGGTGAAAATGAGAAACCGCCGTGAGTCTTTATATATATATATACACAGTTATACAGTAAATATAGAACTACAAGATGGGGCGGCTATGAGTTGTGAGGCGAACCAAATTGCTTGATATGGGTCGATAGTAAGGCAACTGTGGACATGTACCATGATTGTCCCGACATGATTCAGCATGCTTGGAGCCTCTCACTTTTGTTGATTCAGGTTAGATTTATTGTAGAAACTCGGATGAGTCCAGCTGTATACAAGGATCCTCTAACACCACAGTGTAACACAGTAGTCTTAGGGATGTCGTACCCAGCTTGGGCCTGAGCAACTCGGAGTCCAACCCTTGCTCAGGGCGGCAGAGAACGTCCGCCGCGGCATGCAGTCGGGCTGGGCGTCGCTGGGAGACCCAAGTTCATCAGCCAGGGAAGAGCAGGAGAAGTCATGGCAAAGGTGTTGGTGTCTTTGTAAAAGTAAAATACTCATAGAATCCGAATAGAATAGGAACATGTTTATAACCTAGCAAGGATCAGTCAAGATAGTCATGAGGTCCAAGATGAAAGACAACTCAAAAGCGTTCTTGTGCAAACCGATTTATGTTTGAGCCCTTGATACCCACGGTTTTGGGAGATCTTATCTCATGGTTTCTACAGGAGGCCACCCTAGCCACGAAGTTCCACAGCTTGCTTTTCTGCTTTGCCTTCCGAGCCTTGTGAAGTGAGGTATGATGACGTGCCAGATGCGACGGAAGAAGAGGTACAGCAGTACCCTAGAGTTCTTGCCACCTTCTACCAGCAGGCGCCATTCCGATTGGTGTGTGAACCTGTGGACGTGTGCAGTCAATAGCTTTTGGCCAAGCCACGAAAGATTCCAAACTGATTGGTGAGGGCTTCCCCTACATGAACGGTGTGCGCCGGCTGATGGAGTTGACTCCTTAGAAAGCAGCTACCACCTTGGAGGTGTACAGGTCAAGGCTTGAAGTTGATAAGTTCAGAACTCAATACTTGAAGTTGATGCAGTAACAAGAAGCTACTAAGTTACTAGGGGCTCCTGGCCGTACTACTAGGAGCAAGAAGCTAGTAGTAACAAGAGGTTGACAGATCTTGAAACACTCGATTGGCCTTTCTAAGCTCACCTCGAGGCTCTACAAAAAGAAGGCATGGGACATGGCCACTCCCGAATTCCAACAGCTGGTTCGAATGGACCCAGAAAATGCTGCTCGGCAAACAGCTTTGTGTGCGTGTGTGTTTGAACCCCTTTGTGCTTTCCTTTGTTGGCATGACTATTCAATCTCTTTCGAAGAACAGACCACTGAGTCAGTTTGCTTCGTGAATGTCCTCTTTGGGTCACATGATTCACAGCATAGTCGATCGAAAAGGATTAACTGTGTTTCTGGGACCACTGGTATTTTCCTTTAGCGATCAAGCAAGTCAAGGGGTCAATATGATCAAGCCGGATCAATGTGTTTGGTTCCATTCGTTATCAGACCATGTGACCAAGCTTGGAGTAGTCAGTATTGTTGAGGCCAAGTGCAACGGCTACTTGAATTCGGCCATCCTCTACCTGAGGCTTCGTATTAATAAAGCTTGCCAAAATCAACAACAACTGTGTTTACACACCATGCTATAGAGTCCTACAGAAGAAGTGAATGATGCAGTACATTGCGTGTACTTGTCATGAACCCCAAAATTTGATTACAAAAGACATGCCGCAAGAGAGCATCAGTAACAAGGGCATCGCTACTAGTAACAAGGGCATTACCACTAGTAGCTAGAAGCTACTAGGAGCAAAGGGCATCGCTACTAGGAGCAAGAAGCTACTAGTAGCTCCTGGCCATACTACTAGTAACAAGAAGCTACTAGTAAAAGGGCATTACCACTAGTAGCTAGGGAGAAAAAAATGGCACTCGTGATGCACTGATGCACCCTTCCGGACAGGAAGTTTCGCGAGAGCGGTGGCTTCGACAACCTCATGGACAAAATTTCCTGTGAATAAATTTTGCTTCACAATGGCCTACGAAAGGGAATCGTAGCCGGGTTAATCCAAAGTAACAAACGCTTCATTTGCCCCAGAGCTGATTTCAGGATTGACTGCAGACTGGAAGTATGATGTTGGATGTAAGCGGTGATGATGCCCCATGAAATGGGCAAAGCTGAAGGAAATGAGATCCAGAAAGACCATGTGAGTGATAACAACCCCGTGTAGAAGGCTTGGCACTTCATGAAGTTGGGCGTAGAAAGTTTGGCACTTCATGTGTAGGAAATCTGATACGTTTCAGGCTTGACATGTTTTCACATCTTGGCTCTTGCGAGGACATCTCGGAGATGGATCCGGTGAAGCTCCAGAGCACTTTCACCCCAGACTTCGAGCGGGAGACGAACAAGGCGATGTGAGATTGTAACTTCTTGTTCCTAGTAGCGATGCCAGGAGCCCCTAGTAGCGTCCTTGCTCCTAGTAGTAAGGCCAGGAGCCCCTAGTAGCGACTTGTTCCTTGTAGACGCTTGTGCGCTATATGTTTTCCTCTCCAGAATTCCAAGTGAGTGAACCCTGCCATCCTGCGAACAATCACACGAGGAAGTCCTAAATTGCCATGCAGAAAGGATTTGATGTTGAAGTCGATGCACCTTCAGTAGAATCCACTGTGGCAAGGCTTGATGCCATAAAATCCATTCAGCCCACGAGACCCACAATGGCGATTTGATCTGAGTGAGTCATGTCGAGTCGAGTGCAGGAACAAGAGAACTTTGATGACTTGCAGGCCATTGTGGCGCGTGCTTCCAAGAAATCTCCCAAATGGACTAGTAGCGTCCTTGCTCCTAGAAGCGATGCCAGGAGCCCCTAGTAGCGTGCTTGCTCCTAGTTTGAGAATGCTTGGCCTGGGCTAAGATATGCTAACATTATCACACCATATTACACGTGTTCCTTGTTCTTCCCACACTGTTTTCTTGTCATTGTACTTACATAGATGTTGAATCCACAGATTGGTTGTCAGAAAGTGTAAGCTCCTTGTCGAGATTCACCCTACAACACCTAAACAAATAGATGAAGCTTTTTTGAACTTTTTTTCAGCTCTTGCGGCTGTGGAGTTTTGCTGCCCCATCCGCGAAGGTGGACGTTCCCCTGGAGCTGGTAATGGCAGATGCTACAGACAACTGGTCCGAAGCTAAGGGCCTTTGCAGGGGGCACAAGCTCATCGCATTGACTCACATTTGATTCATAAAATATCAAAGAGGGTTCCTGTACCCTTGGAGTTCGTTTGTGACCAAAGTGTGCTCCTATGTTTCTTTTCAACAGACACCTGAGATAGACAGGACTTCTGTTGAATCAGGGAAGCCTGAAATTTCTAGTACAAACCAAAAGACAAAAAGACTACCACGAGATACACCAAAACACAGAAAGCTAAAATCAACTGAAGGCAGCCGATGCTATTGGACGTTATATTTGTGACGTGTCCTGGTTTCTCCGGTGGTGTTGCTTTGTTTGAGGCGAGTGATGATTTCTGGTAGATTTGGTTTCACATCAATATGTTGCCTTCATTGGATAGTTAAACTTTATATAATATATAGTTTAGATCTACGACAGCGCGTACCTAAGACCATCTAGGACCTATGTGAGCGGCGGCCAGCGATTTGAAGTTATATTACATGAAGCTGCATGAAACTACTGACGCACACGCGTTTTTGAGGCGAGCCGAGTTGCGGGAGAAGTTCGACGACGAGGGATATCTCTTGGAGGTGAAGTAGTGAATCACTTTTGGTCGCAAGGGATGGCTCGAAGAATCTTAAAGTATGCAAGAGCAAGTAAAGGGTTCAAATGTGCAGCACTTGTTCCAACAGGCCTTCCTTTCAAGTCGCAGCACAAATGGACAAAAGCAAAGCAAAGATCTGTGAAAGGCAAACGATGGCGAGGTCATGATTGTATACCAGTTGTCCTACTTTACGTTCTACTAGGAACAAGTGCCACGCTACTAGTAACAAGTGCTTTACTAGTAGTAACAAGAAGCTACTAGTAACAAGTGCTTTACTAGTAGTAACAAGAAGCTACTAGGAACAAGTGCTTTACTAGGAACAAGAAACCAGGCTACCGTGAGCTTTTGATCTTGTCCCAGGATGTGGATGCCCGAGGCCAGCGCCCCGTCCAGATCTCAGTCTTGTCCGCACAGCCTTTTTGCTCCAGCATGGCCATTGGCGCCTAGGTCAAGTCCGGCACACACAGGTTTGGGCACAAACATAACACCAACCAAGGTAGCTCTGAGCATGGCACTTTTGCCAAACGCTTCAGACGAGGTCCGAAGAGCTATTATCTTGTGGGTGAATAACCAGTTTGTGTTTGCTTGCCCCCAGTCTTACCGAACAAAATGACCTGATCCAGCTGCTGCCTGTTTGTGCAGGAATGGTCCTTGTGGCCCCGCATCCTGGCCAAGTGCCCTGCAATGGCATGAGGGTTTGGAACGGTTTGGGAGTCAGACAGCGACTCATTGGGCTTTAAACAACCGGGATGGAGCGTGCACAAAGCCTTGTGTTCTTCAAGAATCATGTGGTAAAAAGGTACGAGACCTATTGCAAGCAGGAATCTGAAGAGGCGAGGTATGAGCAGAAGAATAGGAGAGAGTACTGACTTGGTTGAACATGTTGAAGGCTTCATGGCTTAGAGCTTCTTACAATTAGGCTTTGGGCATTTATTGGCTAATCTGTGACCAGGAGAAGCCCATCAAGCGCGAAGCTGAAGCTAACGACATGTTCTTGGCCATGAAGGCCTACCTTTCCATCAAACAATCCAACCGTGCTTGTTCCAAATACCTTGAAATCACCCAAACACGCAAGACATATTTCCTTTGCTGTTTGTTTAACCTTTTGCCCAGCATTGTGGCTGGAAGACAGTGCGGAATAGTTCTTGAAATATCTTGAAATGTATGTTACAATATGTTACATGTTATTCGATGTTGTTTCTCTTGTGTTTGATCTTCCCTGTGTCTTAAGCACTCGCGCCGAGCGTGGTCAGGAGCTGCTGGAGGAACACGGGAAGAGTCCGGAGGCCATGGCCTCTCCCAAGTGTGTCCGATGCCTCAGACGCGAAGTGAGAAGTTCAAACCGGATTTGCACAATGATCTCTCTCGACATCCAGATTTTAAGAATGTTCAGCTCGAAATCAAGATGAAATGTATTGAATCTTATAGGCCATTGCTTTAATTTTGTTCATGTGCAGCATGATTAACATGATAGTTCCAGCCGGTTCCAGCTGCCATTTGTCTTCCGACACTGGCGGCTGCTCTCGAGTTGAAGATGGTGAAGAGCACGTACAGCGGGACTAACAAGGCAGCGCTGAGCTTCGGGAATTGGGCTCAAAGGATCACCTGTTTAACCACGCTTGAATCAAATAGAATACGACACCCACTGGCATGATACATGGACACATGGGTGACACATATACACCTCTTTTGGGATCAGAGCGCCAATCGTCTGACTTATTGCCACCTGCTTGGCATTGCATAAGTAGTCATAAGTGCAAAGACCGTGCAAGGACTTGACAATTGCTGTTGAACCTGTTGCCTCGCAAGGACCGTGCAGTTGCTCTGGCGAAGTTTGCCGAGTTCTGGGCTGCGCATCGCGACGGAGAGTGGGGGCGCGCAGGAGGTTGACTCCGGTGTCTCAAACGAGTTTCTTCCCAGCGTTTCGTTGTCAGAAGCGGAGCACGACATGTCAGGGTAAATGTAAGAGAGCATGTCAACATGTCTGTCCCACTGTGGGAAGAGGGTCTGAAGACGCAAGACGACGCCCAGGTTTCCGGAGCCCAAGGCACCGAAAGGGATTTGTCGACTGTTGCACTGCGGGCCCTTTCATTGGGTGCCAATTGTCTATGTCTCATGTCCTGATGGATCAGAGTTCTGATGAAATCGACTTGTTTCTTGTTACCGAAGGGCATCGCTACTAGTAACAAGAGGACGCTACTAGTAACAAGGGCTTGTTACTTCTTTTCGGACTCCGACTTTCAGCTTGCACCTTGGCCCTTCGAATTGCACTCGCAAGGTTCATGCTCTTGCAGCAATGAAGTACAAGCTCATTGATAGGCAGTTGCTGGAGCAGGTGACTGTGGCATTGCCTTGTGTCATTTGATGATATGGGCTCAAAAGTCAAATATTGTTTCCTATCAGGGCTAGCCTTCCATTTAAGATTTGACTTTTAAGCCATTCTGTTGATCGTTCATGGACCTCACGGAACAAAAGAGACATCGTTCATGTTGCGTCACCTTTTGCCCACACAACATGGAGGCCAAGAGGATGGCTGCCGAGTGGAAGCTCCCCGAGGGCTGGTCGGTGAAGTTGGCCAAGGATGGACGTCTCATCAAGGCTGGGATTTCGCTCGGTATGGGAGGGTTGATCTTTCAGAAGTGTGACAGATGGTTGGTGACGATACGCAAGGGTTTGTGTTGTGCTTTCCCACAAACTGATACAAAATGGGTTTCACATTGGAGTAAGTCCCAATCCTTGAGCTATGGAGCTGGTTGTCATGGTCCCTGTTTTGCCTTCATGCATGTGCTTCCTTGGTGCAGCTGACAAGTGTTGAGGTGAATGGTCCTTGCAAGGAGATCTACCACAGCAAGGTGCTGCAGGGCCATTGTTGCATTGTTGCAAAGGAAAGCGCTGGGATCTAGGATCGGAAGATTTTTGGATGGTCTGTACTAACAGTGGGATGTCTTCCCAGCTATGCAAGAACCGCATTTGGTGTACTAACAATTTGTCGATTCTGAAACTTCGTCTCGGATGATCGGATGCTTAGTGTTCGCTGGATCAAATCGCTGGATCCGCAGGAGGCAGCTCTCCGCGCGGTGGAGCAGAAGGCTTCGCGCCGTGCCGAGGAAGCGAAGGCAGCGCATCAGCAGATGATCTCCGCCAAAGAGGCCGACCGATCGAACCGCGAACGGAATGACCGGAGGGGGTCACTTGGGTACTTGCAACTGGCTAGACAGAATTTGTCTTCGGCCGACGTTTGGGCCACATGCCACAGCCAACAAAGAAGGACTTGGAAGTTTTTCTTTCCTGTCCTTTCGACCTTACAGTGAGGCAAGGCTCCGAGAATTGGTGAAGAGAACCTCGCTTGTTGACTACTCCAATGGGGCTTCGGGGGGGGTATCCACTGCTGGCTGGTGCCTTCTACTCTAGAATTGATTAATTTTGGTTGGAACATGCACTGCACAAAGGAGTACTAGTTCCCTATGTGCATCCTTTCTTGGGTTTTTCTTGCCTAGTTCCGTGTTTGCTTTTACTTGCTTTGATGACGATTTCAGAGTGGATGGGGTAAGCAAGTCCTAGAGGATGCACAGTAG